ACAGTATATATATATATACCGTATCACATATAGAATAAATTGAACTAAACATTTAAGTAAATAATATTAATCAATATATCATATCTGAAATAAAGATATCGAAATAAAAGTGATATATCCTTTAAGTATGATGTGTCTGGACCAATGTAACGAGGTAACGGACCTTCCCAGAGTGTCAATCAAACTTTCAATCAACTGACCAATCAGAACACAGGGCCAGGAATACGCGCGTGTCTCACAACCACATGTGTTGTCCTACAAAGGCACGTGTTTGCGTATGTTTTTACACTGTGGGTCCTTATCGACAATATGAGGCGGGTCTTAACGGACGGGTCCACTGAACCCTCTGCTATGTCCGACTAGCACGATTTATCATGTCATAGAATTCCTTTCTATGGTTGTCATCTGTTCTGGCCAGTTGTTGAAGTATTGTCTTTAGCAAATCCTCAAGCTCCGTATCGAAAATACATTCAAAACCTGATCCAGAGGTATTGATAGACGTCTCTTCATTTTCAGATATAGTATATAGATCGGGAACGGCTAAAAGTGTACCTCGACGGCTGGCTAAATCACCCGGGAGAGAAAAGCTACTATTTCCGCCTACAGATGCAATTGAAGCTCTCCTCAATTCCATCAGGACTAATACTCGTTTAACAGCCCCCCAAAGTCTTGTTCGTACACTCTTTGATAATTTATTCTTCTGGTAACGTCTTGTTGTGGCTTTGAAAATCGCAGCTAAAACACCAAGGCCTAGGAGAAGATACAAAATAGCTACAATTGCATAGAAGATGTGAAGTACTGTCTTGGAAACAGACCCATCACTCCTGATACGCGAAGCGACCTCAAGGTCACCAAACCCAATGGTGCTTAGAGTGATGAACGAAAAGTAAACTGCTTGAATAAAACTCCAGTCGCGTTCAATAGTTAAAATAATGAGTACTGATGGTAGAATCAAAATAACAATCGATACGAGTGTACAAGTAATAATCAAGATCAAATTATTACGTAATCGCTGTCCACTTATAAATCGTAGCAAACAAGAGTTGAGTCGCAAAACGAAGTCTTTTACCTTTCCCTCGAACATGTCCCCAATAACAGATAAAAGCCATCCCGTCAACGGGATACCAAAGAAAGCGTAAGCGATGCATAGCATTTGCCCTTTTTTCGTTTTTGGGGTTATATACCCATAGCCTGAAAGAAAAAATAAAACGATTAAGTGTCAGTACAAATGATAACTGGCAACAAGATAAAAATAAGATAAATAATATTATCATTATAATAATATAATGATAATAACAATGATAAGATCTTGTCTTGTTAAATGGTTAACAACAGGGCATATTATTAGTTTCTAGGCATAATTTGCGGTGCAATAGGAACTACTGCAGGCACCGATCCAGTAGGGGCACGGGAGCACCCCCCCCTGCCTGAAAATTTCAATGCATATCAATGTTATGTATAGAAATAAGAGCTACTCATTTTTCTGAAAATATCTACGAATAAATGTATTATTATTATTATTATTATTATTGATTGTTCTCGCTTTACTATGCCATACTCCTAATTCGGTTGCAGCGGCGGGATTATTGTTATAATCATCGACATAATTGTTAAATACCGAGTGGACAGCGTTTTTGCATACAAATATGTAACAAGTTTAACCACCGGCTTCGCCTCTTTTTCATCATCAACATTACTACTATATTGTTTATCGATTTATAAGCCTATTCATCTTTATTATCAGTATCATTAATTAAGTTATCATTATTTTTATCATAATCATAAGTCAATGTCATGCAAGAATCTCCGCCTCTTTATCATTATCAACATTATTAAACTTACTATAATGCTTATCAATATATCAATAATTTTATTATCATCATTGTTATCATAGTCGTAAGTCAATATTATGCAGGAAGCTATTCCATATTTTCATATATTGAAACCACAAACCATATTGATAGGCCTACTGCAATTTGTGTTGGATTGAACTGGATTTACCAAAATAATATCCCCAAGGACAAGGCATTTTGACCAGAGTGTCGATTGTAATTTGTTGTCGACGAAAATATGATAATTAGCCTAACACTCAAAAAGATTAACGGCACATTAAGTATTTGAAATAATAATGCATGCAGCTAATGCCAGCATGACGGAAAGTAGGTTTAGAATTCATCTCTATTATATCGTGATTTATTTATAAAAAAAAAGTATCCCTTCGGAGGTCCTGACTTCGTCAAATGCTTATAAGAAGAGGGCGTATCATATTGATCGCTGTTATTTGCCACGCATTAAGGACTGTGCTGTCCAACTATAAAATTCTCAAAAAAAACCTCAATATCCAAGTTGGTTAAGGCGTCTGCAAGGATTTTGAACGTTAAAGAAAAAACTTTATTCTTTGCACGAAGTATGAATGAGTCGAAAGTCGGTATTTTCCGAGTTTCCGATTTTATGGAATCACGCTTGTCAATAGTAACACATAAATGCTGTGCATTCCAAATAATTAATATATATTAACATAAAATCTAAAAGAAAACAGCAATAAATAATGTATTAAATACATCTATATTCTTATCGCAATATAATGTTAGCAACCCTGAGGCGCTTAGATATAAAAGTGTACGAGTTTAATTTGCACATCACGTCACCAATAGGCCTACTGTATTTATAATTACAAATATAAACGTTATATATCGTACGTGGAATCAATCTTTCACAAGAAATTACCTCGCTTTCTAACGATACTTATAATTTGTGTAATTTGTCTAGAACAGAGATTAATTTATCGATATGCTAAACTTCTAAATGTACCTATGACATGTATATATATATATATATATATATATATATATATATATATATATAGCTTTAAGTGGCAATATGCCCTTGACGTTTTTGCGAAATTTTCACCTAGTCGTTTTTCTGCTAAATTCTTACATTTACCTAAGGATCATGAAAATACCGATTATATTTAATTTAACCTCGTTCAACATCATTTCCTTCGCGTTTAAAACTTTTAATTTTCCCAGATTTGGACACAACACATGGCAGGGGCGAATCCAAAAATGTCCGAAAGGGGGAGGGGACGAAAGTGGGGCCGATCGAGATAACATCACCGTAGGGGATCCGGGGCATGCCCCCGCGAAATACTTGTTTTCAGAACGCCCGAAAAAAACCTCTGAGGCGTTTTGGGGCCGGCCGGCCGGCCACCATAAAACCACCCCTGCGTGGAATTGAGTATCATCCAAACAAAAATCGTGCTGTATTATGCAGAAGCCTTATCCACAACTGGGCCAATATTTCTTCGTTAAAAATTCAAATCCTCAATACCTATTTTGCGCATGCGTAGTTGAACTGCACTAGTTGTTGATGAATCTGGTACGGTATTATGTGTCTGTAAATTGTCGTAGAAATAATTATTTCTTTGTAATTTTATATTTAAAGCTAATCAATTATACAAAGTTTTAATCAATTAAAATATTAAAATTATATTGACGTTTATTAACTCAACACAGGCAGTATATAGGAGCCTATTTTAAATATTAATATAACCCAAATTGTTTTATTAGTTTTTTTGATACTAGTTCAACTGATCAACTGATACCGATAATATGACATAATTATTGCCGCAAGCATTCCATCTGTCCTGATGATATCTTTTACTATAAGTTTGAAAGTTACGTGCATTTTGCTCCATATCAGTAGGGGTAATTAAATAATTATTGAAGGTCTCCTTTCAGATCCATTGTATTTTCTTTCTTCACTTGGTTTAATGAAATAAAATAAAATACCAACAAAAACATACATAAAATACAATGACAGTAATAAACGATTAATACAAAAGGACGACAAATAAGGCACATGGCCGTTTAAGGGAAACTTAAATAAAAATACCCGCTTATATTGCTTTCAAATAATATAATCATTAGTAATAAAAACACAAGTACAAATAAAACAAATAGGCCTACATACAGTATTTATCATGTGTATAGTCATAAAGTAATTAACTTATATTAGAAAGGTATTTGTCCAATGTATTGAGTTTTGTTACTTGTATAATAAGCCTGATGATAGGGTTGAGATTGTGCAGCAGAGCACAGCATACAAAATATACCGGTACCGTATTTATTCGAATAAACTTACCGGGGCGTTTATTGTTGAGAAGGGTTTTTGAGGGGCGTTTATTCGAGGACCCGAGGCGTTTATTCGAGGGAGACGCATATATTTTGGGGGTTTAAAAAGGATATGTATAGGGCCTATACCGTAGGCCTATATATTCACGTTACAGAGAGGACCAACAGTGCAAACCACCATTGCACTTATATAGTTTCAATTGAGTCCTAATTGGAGAATAATAATATGGTACTTTAGTTCTTTTTTGTTGTACATTATATACAGTAGTAAAATTTTTAAATATTGGACGCCGAGAAAAAATTAATAGCCCACTTAAAAAAAACCCAAAAAAACAAAAACAAAAACAAAACAAAAAACAATAAAGAAAAAAAACAAAGAAAGAAAGGAAGGAAAGAAAGAAAGAAAGAAAGAAAGAAAGAAAGAAAGAAAGAAAAAAAGAAAGAAAGAAAGAAAGAAAGAAGAAACTGCTCAGAAACAGAACCCAGTCAGTTTGCACTGGCTGGGTAAATAGGCTCACTTAATTTTTCAATCAACCTTACACCGACCGACTATCCAATCAGCACTTACACACAGTGTACGTTGGATACTAATGTTAAATGGTGTAGGATTGAATAATCCATTATTAAATCTTAGAGAGTCAATCCTGTTTATATTCCAACAATGCAGACAATCAATTGAAACCACATCTAACATCGATCATTTTTTGTCGTAACATTAGATTTGTCGCAACATTATATGCATGCAATATATATTATATATATATTACATTATATATAGCCTATATTATATAAAGCATATATACGGTAGGCTATGCATGCATATAAATGACAAGCACAAGCAAGTGTGTTTATCATGATAATGTACATGCATTGAATAGGCCAATTAGAATTGAAAGGGATGTCTAGATAATAAGGGAGACCTAAATTATACAAAATATGCTTACCAATCGTGGTTATAGTAGTTGCGCTGAAGAAAAGAGCCCTAGGTATTCGCCAGTGTGAGTCGTTAACGAAGTCACCATCCGCTATGAAAATGGCTCCGTTATTATCTGCTTCTATAATCAACTCAACCAATGATTCAAGTTCTTTACTCGTCACACATGTATTTTCCTCTATAAAACTTTCCAAGTCAAGTAAGAACGAATCCCTCTTCTTATTCTCGTGTCCGCTTTCACAATAGCTAAAAGTCAATCCACCTACGAATAGATAAGCGTAGAATGAGATGAGGAGCACAATAAGCCTACGTGCTGGCCGTTTCATATCTCCCGAGAAATTGCATTCAAGTCGTACGAATCATTGTTGAGTGCTGACTGGCTTAATCGACAATGACCGACATTACCATTCTGACTGATCACCAATCAATAACATTTACTTTGAACGATATTTCTTAATATTATTATATTAAATGTCAAAATTGGAAGCTGGCTGACGCGACGCGCGGATATTCCGTCCGACCGCACGCGCGGCATCGCTCTCGGAGACCGACTGAATGACACAAACGAGGCGTTTGGGGCGTGCTCTCCCGAATCACCTGGAAATCTGGCGTTAGTTATCTTCGCACGAGGATCAGTTCAAAGGAAACTGTTTTAGTCAATCAAGTACTGAATAGGAATAGCACGTGACTTATGATTCAGAACGATACGCAACAATAACGATGGACATAAATCATTGTTATAAGCATTTATACAATTGTGTTATATTTGGTGAGGATACTTCTTGATAAATCGGTTGATGGCGTGGGTACCTATATCTAAGGATTAGGCACCGGTCTTCATAAGTAATTAAGCAAGTCTATAGGCCTATACATATATATGCCTACACCAATATACCATATTGTCATAGGGGTATATACCACGTTCGCCTATACAAGAAAATCTTTTTTGTTGTAATGCATCAGAAGACATACAACATTTGGTTCCAGTTGCTAATAGCCTTTACTACAAACACAAATACAAATATATAATATATTACTGTATTCTAAAAATACTAATATAGGCCTATTATGTATAGGGTCCATATTAAACTGAAACGTAACAGAATAGAAATCTGACAACGAGGAAAAAAACTCAGCCTCAATCGGGTCTCGAACCCAGGACCTTTGGCATACATGGCGATCGTCATAACCACCTGACCACGAAGGCATTGTGGGGTGAATCAAGCGCCAGGTAAAATCTGAGTTCTTTTCATTCTTGTACCGAGTCTGGCGTCATTGATTTTGATATAGCTCTAATATCGCATGTGACTAGACTGCCAGAGATCTCGAAGATATGTCCATTGATTTTCAGCTTGCTGGATTACGCCTGAGGTAATTGTATACATAATATATATATATATTTTATTACACAATTTCTTTATTTATTTATTTACAGGACTACATCGTTGAGAGCTACGCTACGCGATGTATTATTGTCCTTTATTAAACACTGTATTTACCTTTCTTTGATGATTTATATATATATATATATATATATATATATAATTATATATATTACATATACAAGCCTAAATATAGTGATTAAAGATTATTTTATTATTGTCAATACACTTTATTTTGTTATTGTAGTGCGTCTTTACCATTTTGTGAAGCCGAATCCATCCATATGTCTGTTGATACTTAAACAGTCTGATCTTTGTGATTTAATGCAGCACGTAGTACGGGCAGTAGTATGCGCCCCCTGTTCACGCTACATACTTTATATTACGCGTCACTGTGCAAAGTTAACACGTTTTGAAGATGGTAAGGGACTTTCAATGTGCATTACCAATACACTTGCAGACTGTTCAAATTTATAAATTAATGTATGTATTAGCAAGCTAGATATCGTGCTTGTGTATAAGAACATATGCAATAGTTTATTTTAAAAAAGAGCTGTAAGTATCCGTGCCCAGTTCAGAGTTGCTTCACAGAACCGTCAGAGTTTGACAGAGTGAAAGTGCGTGTCGGGGCCTTTGAATAACGATTTGGGATTGTACATTTGAAAAACTATATGACAAATGATGACAGTTTTGTTGATGCCAACTCGGAACGCATATTGACGCGTAAAATTGAATTTCTACACCCGAGGGAATCGTTACACCACACTAATGATGATGGGGCACGTTGCGTATTAATATTTTTGCTCAAGTTCCACACGAATGGATACGGATTTTATGACTTGTCATTGTGTAGGTATAAATAGCAACGCTTGAATAAACAGAAAATGAGGTGACGTTTTAAGTAGGCCTATATTATACAAATATACATTTAACATTCGACGTGCTCTTAGTACACTATAACAGAGGAGGTTCAAGAATTGTTCAAAGGGGGGGGGGGTGGAAATAGATAAGTGAGTTCTACGCTTATTTCAATACATAACATTGATATCCCCTATGCATTGAAAGTTTAAAATTTAGTGGCAAAACAGTGGGGGAGGGGTTCTGGATCCGCGCCTGACTATAGCCTATCTATATGCCAGACTCTCAACTCCACCTGACATTTATATAAGGTTTTGTATGATTTTAGATTTTTGGACCATATTTATATATTTTTAAATACAACTACTAAAGCACCCCAAGGCCACTGAGAAATTGTGTCCTTCCTTTTTAGCCTCAGGACTATTTTGTATCATCTATATAGTTATATAAACAAACTACCGGTAATAATTTGCGACAATATTGAACCACGGACCTGATTCAACGTTTACCTGCAATGCACTTGGCGTAGATGAATGATGTCAGTGCGTCGCTACAAATTGTATTTTCAATGAATAGAATATAAATATTGCTCTCTGTGTTTATATCCGGTGTGCGGCATTATTAAACTGGATTAGACAGTGCGTATTCACGCTGTGTTTTCCTTATTAATGGAATATTCGGACGACGAAATTGGGGACATACATCAGAGTGAGTTTGTATCTGAACGTTGTGAAGGTGCCACGTTTTCTAGGATCGATTCGAATGCAAAAACACTCTTGTAATAACGTAAACTTCGCTAATGTCTGCATCTTAAGTGATCATACAAAATTATTCTTTTCTTCTCATGTTTCAAGCACAAATACTTAACTAGATTTATAATATGATTATGTAGGCCATCATTTGAGGTATTTATGGAAAGAGAAGCGACAAGCGAATGTAGGAGTAAGTAGGACTATGGCCTATATTTTTTCCAACAACGGAAAGATTAATTTGTTTAGGATCAATTCATTCAATTATTGGAGTTTTCCCACATGTTCCCACTACTGCTTTTGTGCCTTTTTGCTTTAAAATAGTTGAGACCTATATTTTAGCCGATTTTTTACTATTTAAACTTCTACAATTATAACCTTATGCGCTGTGTATTTAGTATGTGATTGTTCCAATAAGTATATTTTTTTAAATTTTAATCTGTTAACAAACAACCGGAATTTCGAGTGTTTGACAATAAAGATTGAACTGAAGTGATTACGTCACGCTTTCATGTGATCCCGTGTGTTTCATTGTCTCCAACTGTAGGCCTACTGTTCTTGCTTTATTAAAAACATTATATTAATTATTATTATTATTATTATTATTATTATTATTATTATTATTATTATTATTATTATTATTATTATTACTATTATTATCATTATTATTATTATTGTTGTTGTTGTTGTTGTTGTTGTTGTTACTGTTATTACTATTCCCATTACCTTCATCTTTCTGCTCTGCTATTTGTTTCTTCAAACACGCTCAATATTTTTGATTTTCGTACAAAAAAATGTTGCTGTCTTTATGTTTCAATTTAAGTCTAATCAATTGCCTCTAATCTTTAGTTCATACTTTTTAGTTCAATCCACAATTACAATACTAGAAATAGGGGTAACTATGTTTATGAGCGTTTAAATACTGTAACTGGCCAATGTGATATCTCATTTCAAGGTGCTAAAGTTTGGAATGAATTACCTGATCACTTAAAAACAATTAGTAATATTAATACCTTTAAATACAAATTACATTCGTATCTAGTTTCTTCCACCACATGAATTTCTGGTACTTATCTGCTATACTTGTTATATTAACGTAGGCCTATATTATATTTTATTATACTTTATATTTTGATTTGTCATCGCTTAGAATTAAGATTTATTTATTGGACACATTCTTATGTCTGTCTCTTATACACATCTAGATGTGTATAAGAGACAGATACATAACATTGATATCCCCTATGCATTGAAAGTTTAAAATTTAGTGGCAAAACAGTGGGGGAGGGGTTCTGGATCCGCGCCTGACTATAGCCTATCTATATGCCAGACTCTCAACTCCACCTGACATTTTATGGGAAACCGGTCTTGCTCCGTATTTCTCAGCAACTGCAGAAAACGATTATGTCAAATTCAACCTACTTAATTCTCCTCTCAAATACCCATCCCCTTATCATTGCTTTAAAAATAGTCTCACAACAGTCTTCCTCCATTCATATTGTAATTCTAAATATTAATTACGTCATAGGCCTATTATAGACCTACTTAATTCTCCTCTCAAATACCCATCCCCTTATCATCGCTTTAAAAATAGTCTCACAACAGTCTTCCTCCATTCATATTGCAATTTTAATTATTTAGCTTTTCTTTTTTAAAATATTCTTCATTTTCCCTGCAGTGCAATAAATTCTCTTCTGATTCCCCGCTACACCAACTCTGCAGACAGACTTCCGAATAAAATTATGCTTTTTACTACAGCACAAGGTTAAGTTTTATAGTCTTGTACAGTTGGCCAACATTTTCTCTATAGATAACGTAATGAACTTAATTTTGGTTTTCAACGTTATTGCAGTTTTTTCCCCCGCGGATAGCAGCCATGGATGGCTAGAGAAACAATTGTGATTGAATCTTATTATTATTGATTAAATCTGATTTATAGTATTTTAACCAAATATATAGTTGTCTCAGATAGGAAACTAAACTACTTGGTGAATGGATAAGATGTAACGCACACCATTACATCATTACGTACATCATTACAGTTTCTGTCCGTTAAATATACAGTATCATAAATTTCGTTTCTATAGCTGACACAAGCGACACTTTAAAAGTTACATCAAAATTAACATTCACACAGCAAAGTAATACTAAATAAATAATACCAACAACAACACGAAAAATATATAAAATATTAAAGTTAAAATAAATAAAAGCAAAAAAATTAAATATAACATAGGCCTAATCTAAGATGTAAAAACAATACAAAAATACAAACTACCTAGTCACAAAGTTTAAAGTGAAACTATAAAATGTTCACTAGCTGAAGTAGCGCGTCTGTATAGACGAAGTCGGGCAGCTCTGAAATACCCGCGACTATATGGAAATCGCGTAGGCCTATCGATTTGAACAAACACCGAAGTCGGACGCTGCTCTGGAAAATCTTTGACGACATAAAATCGTGTATCGATCTTAACCTACCACATAACCTACAGTCGCCTAAAGGTCCAACATTAATTATACGGTATTGATTACTAACACATAAGCCCACGCCATGCGTTAACATTACGCACATCGCTTGAGTTAACTTTACAGCTTCACTGCCCTAATAATTATCCGCCTTCATATCTATTCAATTTTGGAGTTGTTAATTTTCCTGACTCATAAATTCATTATCACTTACTATGGAAGACATGGACGTAAACAATATACGGTTTCAATGTGTGTCAGTATTATGAAATAGTTATCAAATAACAATGATTTGACGATTATGATGATTTGACGATTATACCACCCGTATTTTATGGCGCATACAATAACCGTCTAGCAAGATTTTACGTTATGTAATTTAGAAATTTCGAATTTTTGTTTTCCAAAACAACAAAAAACAAAACAAGACATGACGTTTGGTGTCTGTATTCGATGTAAAAGTAAAGAAAATAACTTTAGGATTTTCCGTCCAATCGAGTAAATGCGAATTGTGGACTGGGCCCGGGGGAACAAACGGCAGAGTTGCAGCCACAAAACTGCGGGAAAAGAAAAATAAACTGATGTACACCGAAATTTACCTTTACTTTATTTTTTATGGGCGCTGGCACATTTTGCATATGGAGACCACCAGCTTAACGTCTCCTCTGAATTACGATGGGCTATACCAGAGATGATAGGCCTACATCGATTCTATTTAGCTGTCTAGTACGGTAGACCCGTCCTGGTTCTTCATAGGCGGCCCGCGGCCCAAATTTGGTCCTCGAAGCAAATTATGCTGAAAAAAAAATTGAATTATAAAAGCATAAAGAAACTAAAATTAATAACTATTCGATGAATATTTCTTCAATAAAGTTAAGGCCAAAACACAACACTGGGCAATGTGAAATAGGGGTGACCCCCATCCAGATCTATAATTATATCTGTTACCAACCAATCGACAAACGCCAAAGGATTGGTAGTATTAGTTCATCTAAATATGACATAGTAAATTAAAAATAAAAACTTTATCAGAGACTTGTTTTTATTTGAGCAGACCCGAGAATTTACAGGCGAAATGTTTTTAGGCTTTATTTGGTGGATATTAGGATAGGCCTAGGTGAAATCACAGAAAATACCGATTGTCTGCCAAAATATTAATTTGGAGAAACATTGTATGGATGGCTGATAAAAAAACAATACTGTGTTTTTGTCACAATTATGCCTATAACTTCATGTTTGGCTTGAAAATACTCCTACAGGATTACTATTACCAGGGAGGGAGTTGCTGTATGGACGACTTCCGCGCAGGCAACAATATTTGACTAGGCATAAGAAGCAAGGTCAATATGATATAAAAAAATATCTAGTTTTACTCTGATAGGAAAGAAAAAGCCCAATTCACCAGGCAATGATACTTCGGCCACAGTCACACTTGCACAAAGAAAGGGAAGTCATGACAAGTTCTATTACCAGTCACCGACAACCTGAAACTTCCAGCGACCCTGAAACATATTTTTGGCATGAAAATATGCTTTATTTTTTATTTCAAATCTGTATAAGCCTGCTATTCGGCTATTCAAGGACTGCTTTGAATGCGGCACTTTACCACTTACCGTACTCGCGCGAATAAGCGCCCCGTTTGAATAATCGCCCCGTTTGAATCAGCCCAATGAAAGGTTTGGACAGAAACCATACATATCAATTACTTGAAGTAGGCCGATAGAGAACTTCAGAGAAAGACGTGACAAACGCCGGAAGATAGAAAAGAGAACGATGTCTTAATCTCCAATCGAAAAACCCAATTATAAAGCTTAGAAATTCGGTTAATTGTTCATTGACAGTGCTGGCGTTATCGTTAAAATATTAAACAAAAATTAAATTGGTTTTTTTTATTCTTGCGATTTTTTACATTTTTACATTGTTTTAATTTTTGCCTTGAAATTTTATACTTTTAATAATTGTTTTACCACATTTTAATATGCCTTTTTAACCTACTATTTTATGCTATGCGACCTTTTAATTTAATTTTATTTCTTCTTTTCTCTCAAGGACCCCATTGGAATTAAGTCGTTTTATACAACTTTCATGGGCTATCCTAGTGTACCTAGTGTTCAACATAAGATTTTATTGAATTTAATTGTTAATATTTTTCCCTATATTAAAGTCAACTTTTTTGAAAACACTTTGTTATTTGATTATATTGTTGGTGTTAAGGTATACTGAATAAAGTCAAGTCAAGTCAAGTTTTATGAAATATTAACATATTAAAATTATAACTGTATATATTAAAGTTACATAGACTGTAATCAGTGGCGGATTCATGAATTCGATATAGAGGGGTTGGCGTTATCGAATTATTAAATATTAAACAAAAATTAAGTTGGTTTTATGAAATATTAACATAGTAAAATTATAATCGTATAGGCCTATATTAAAGTAGACTGTAGTCAGTGGCGGATTCATGAATTCGATATAGAGGGGTTGGCGTTATCGAATTATTAGATATTAAACAAAAATTATGTTGGTTTTATGAAATATTAACATATTAAAATTATAATTGTATAGGCCTATATTAAAGTAGACTGTATAGTCAGTGGCGAATTCAGGAATTCGAAATAGAGGGGGCTCAGGGAGGAACTATCACAGATGGAGAGTTAGACAACCTCAGCCCCACCATGGTTTGCGGCTGAGGTAAAACAAAATTATGATTATGGCACCTCTAGATGGCCCGAAATGGCACTCTCGGACATAAACATTATTATAATTTCCCGTTTTTTCTCCTTAAAAAATTTTTTTTTTAAAATTTAGGGTGGGGGAGGGGAGCAGCCCGGTCCCCCACCCCCTGGAATCCGCCACTGGTATTATGCGTATATACAATATTCATGTATGACCTATTCGAGCTGACACTAATGTAAACTACAGATATAAGCTTCTGCTTATTCACCCTGTACAGTATTCACGTTTGTGAATATTATTATTCATCCAAGTAAGTATAATATATAATTGTCACGTAATATACAAGTAAGTCCAGTTGAAAAGATTTATTGTTTTATATTATATCTTGTACAGTATTGTTATATTTGCTAGTGCTAGACCCTATGGGAGGGAAATAGTTTATGTTGTAATGCATAGCATGTATTTTATAAACGAATAAATAAATAACTAATCCACACAGGACAGTAGAAAGTGATATATTAACAAAATATTTATATTTAATATCCTTTTATAATAATAACAAGCGCACCTAGAGATCTCAGTATTATGCGCATTACAAATCCTATTTATTATCTACAGTATTATTATTATGGCCGTAAATAGGCCTGAAAGGAATTAGTTCTAGCACAGGCCTACTTGTAAAATGACGGAATTGTTAAAGCCTGATATTAAAATCAATATAGGCCTATTTTAATATCAATTTGGCGATAAAACACTTAAATATACATTAAAAAAAAATGCTATGATAATTCATTCTTTGATAATATGATTGCACACACTGGGCTACAAACTTTATTGTGGTTAGGCCTACTATAATTGAAATAAATTATACACATATCATACATTTTGTATCGGTGTCAACAACATATAGGTTGGTAACCCAACGGAAAGTCATTACATTATAAAAATGTACGATAATATTGGAAATCAGCGTACCATCATCTCCCATGGCACTAAGTCTCATTACCTACTGTAGACAGTTCACTGAGAAACGTAATCAATTCAACACCCATCAAAGTATGCTTCACGCCAAAGCTGTTGGAATCGAGTTATTAATAATTTCAAAATTTTCATCTGTTCATACTTAATAATCAAGCAGTTCTGTATTCTATAGCATCACAATCAATCTAAGAGACCTAGATCAGGATTTTTATGTATACAACAGGCCTAATAGGATTAAGTATAGGGCCTACGTTTCATTAACATAGGTTTGAACGAATTAATTGCCTGTATTTTTTTTTATTTTCGTGGGGTCACACACGCAGTTAGAAGTTGCAAGTGCTTAAAAAAATCAAATAAATGGACACTACAACGTAAAATTCACCAGGCAATGCAAGGAATGGGATTTAAATTTAAGCTTTTTCGGATAAGATTCTCGGGGGCCCGAGTTTGCTTTAGTAACGGTTAGCTAAATCAAAAATAATGTAATATTAATCTACTGGAGCGAGGTACTGGATAAATCACCGATTGATAATGTATAATTATTGGGCAACCATGCAGCAAAATTTAATTGGAAGATAATTAGAAACCTTATATATTTTTTGCACGTATAGGCCTACATTGTACAGCTCACTGGTGAACGATTCCATGATTTTTGACAGGGTGGTTAACGTTCCCAAACGAAGAAATATACAAAAATAATACAACAGAAAAATGAATGTAGAATACTGTAAAATAATTTTTTATTCTTTTCTTTCAATATAATGCATTGATAAATATATCGGTAGATTCTCTATATATCTTGTTCCCAGTTTTTGAAAACGCGTTCCATCATAGTCACATGGGAAGCAGTCTCTCTATCATGTTATTATTCAAATTATTCTGGCAAATTTCCAAACCCATTATAATTTGTAATATGAGTATTTAATGAATTAACGTTTCATTGTATATGAAATTCAATTTACTTTTGTACCATCTCTAAGCTTAATTACCTATGAACAACAAGACTGGTTTTCACGTAGACCGAATGTAAAAAACATTTTTCACATGAACCTCCCCACCCCCTCCCTGAATGAGTACACAATGCAATGATGATGTTCTTCATTATAAGATCATCATTTCATCTTATTCACACACTTTTACCCCCTTCCTCCAGCAGAGATTAATACTCTCATGAAAATGATAAAATGGATGACCCATTAGAACTTATATTAGCATGATTGTTGGAAACAGATTACTCAAAATCTTGATTAAACTTCAATAATTCTAAAATAATACATTTATATAGCAACATGAACAACATGCACCTGGTCATGGATTAGTATTGACAGTTACCTCAATGAGCAATCTTCCCGGCTTTCAGGATAGCATCATTTAGGATGCTTCAAGGCAAACTTGGGTGGACATTTATACTCATGGGTGGAAAGTGACAATTATTAGATGAAGTGTCTTGCCAAAGGGCAAGGAAGCATCAACCATGTGGGCTTTGAACTACGACCTAAATATTGGGAACCCGAACCACAACAGCCACCCACTCTCACATAAAAAAAAACCCAAGTTGATAATGTCAATATATTGAATATGATTCAGACGTTATTAGTAGCTGTCTTCAACAAAATCAGAAAACATTTGGTATGCTCCCCACATTCCCCCCACTAAATCTGCCCCTGTAAGATAACTTCTGTAGGTCTTGAATAGAGATGTACCAAAAATCATACGAACGAATAAAAAATCATACAAACAAGGAAGACTAAAATCAAGTCCAGCCCTTAAATTAATAGTGCATTACTTTATCTTGTAGTTTGTCAATCATTTTTTGATTGAAATGAAATAAAGTATAAAATATACTATTTTACTAATGGTTTTGGCAATTTTGACAGTCAAGTAAAGTGACCCCTTGTTCATGCTCTACATCTAGATTCAGCGATCTGTCTTGTAGTTTGAGTATGGTGTGATGAATCAGGATTTTCTGAAATACCAACATTGTAGAGCTACTGCCTTGAAGGTGTCAGCTGTCACGTATTTGCTAGCATCTCGCTGTTAAATTTATGTTTGAAGAATTGGTGCAGTTCCTGGGCTCGGCTTGCTGAAATTCTCGCTTTGACTTCCAGCTGAGATGGTGTGCTATATACAAAAAAAAAGATAGATGGTGTCTTTCAAAAATCAAGCGAGCAGACAAATGTTCATAACACTGAAGTCATGAAAAAGTATCACCTAAAACAGCTTTGATTTATGAATACAAAGGAAGAAATATTGTATTAAAGCTTATCATTATTATATTACTTGGAAGAGATTATATAATAATAATAATAATAATAATAATAATAATAATAATAATAATAATAATAGCTATAGTAATAATTTATAATTCTGTAATTTTCTCTAGTTTTTTATTAAAACAATTTTCTGCAATTTTAATGTAAATTTCCTTTTATGTTTAATATTTTTCATGCTTTTTGATGTTATTGATATTAAACATAATTCGTAATTCAGCCTTTTTGACCGCCATGCTTTATGCCTTTATGAATTTTTTGAATTTTGAATAAAAAAATAGCATTGTATAAGAGATAGGCACATATAATTAATTTTAATTAAGGAAGCAATGCAAGATGCACAATGATAAATTAAACTAATGTCATAACCCTACACACTTGTTACTAATTTATCTGGAACCAAAGTATTTATAGTACTTATTAAGCATTCAGTTGTGAGAGACTCCCGGAAATTAGGATGGCCTCTAAAATCTTTTGAAGTTAATCCACTTGTGTACATCCATGATGCTTGTATGTTTTTACAAAGATAATAAATAGCAGAAGATAGAACAGTGTCCCAATATAGTGGAACATCCAATTGAAATGCATTGTGGGTGCACGGAGAACAATTTTCCCCTGTCTGTGTGGCGGTGCTATATATCCATAATTATATTTAAGTTCTTTGGCTTTTACTACTGCAATCAATTGTATCCCTGAATTCAGCAGGCGATGCACCAAGCACAGCAGAATAAATAAAATTAAATGTGGGACCCTGACGAAGTTTGGGGAAAGGCACATACTGTTGAGTGTTTCCCTGACTGACGCTCTAGTCGGCAACTTGGTTCAAATCTCCCTGTTGTACAAGTCGGAACCCCTGTTGGCAACTTTCCGGAGCCACCTCTGATACTGTCTCAGGGTATTTTTAACAAAAGTCACACTTGTTCAAAGTAGCCATTCACAATATGGAAAGTTCAGGATGATAATGTTTGCAAAAGGCACAGAAGAATAATGTTTCTATTAATTAATTATTAATTAATTTGACTTTCTTGTGGAGGAGCACATGAGCGTTTTGATTGAAACGGATAAATATTCATTAAAATTGTTACATGAACATAGGATAAAGGTTAATAATTATAACTTCAACTATGATACTACAATAATATTGCATGATCAGTACAGGTGACTTTACCTGGAATAGTTAGATAAGTACAGCTATAAGGTGAATGACCTACCTGGATGCAATTTCAGCAAATGTTGAGCAGTTCTTTGAAAGACACAAGGCACCAGCAAAATTCAAGCAAGGGATTGACAGACATATTTTGAAAATCTGTAAAAAAAAAAAATTAAAATTTCACGTAAAATTGTTTACGTTTACTAGCAGATAAAGAGTATTGGTAATTGGTACGGCCATTTACAATGCGCCTCTTCCTTGCAGTTATAAAGCGCAATTCTTTTCCCTGGTCATTGGGTCCACATGCTAAGTGTTGCTGCTGATAATCAGCGCAAATGCAGATAACCCCACCAGGTTCCCATTTATATTCCTGGGTGAAGAGAAGCAATGCAGATAAAGTGTCTTGCCCAAGGACACAAGCGAAATGCACAGGGAGGGATTGAAACCCTGACCTCGAGGTTTGGAAACCAAACCATTCCCGCTGCGCCAAACTGCTTCCACAAAGTAAGAGATGACAAAAATAAAAATATTGACTGGAATTCTTTAATATATGAGGCCTGCCTTCCCAAAACCAGCATACAGTTGCTAAATATCATCGTTACCACCATCATCATCACATTCATCTTTATCTTTCCTTTCATCATCATCATCATCTTTATCATCTTTATCATCATCATCATCATCGTCTTTATCATCTTTATCATCATCATCATCGTCTTTATCATCATTGTTGGATTTAAGCACAAGAGTTTATTTCCTATTCATCAGCAGCGTAGCTAAGTGCGAAAGGGCCTGAGTGCAAGATTGTTGGGGCCTTTGATGTAATAGGGGAATTCCCTAAGTTCTCAGAACTGCTTTGAACCTCTAGATGGCCGGAAACCATACTCTCAGACTTAGAATATAACGAATATAATTTCCTTTTTTCCCCATTTTTTTTATAATTTGGAAAAAATAGGGGGGGTCAGACCGGCGGGGGTCCCTTGAATACACCACATAATTGAAATCAATATATTAATATAGTAACCAACATTATTGAGGAGCCCATTAGCTGTTTTATCCTTCAAAATTAAGTCCGAAATGATTTTAAATTATTATTTTTAGGTCTATTTATGAATGGGCCCCTAATAGCCCGGGGCCCCAGTACTTTGCACTGGCTGCACTGCCCGTAGCTATGCCACTGCTATTCATCATAATGACTACCTACAGTAAATTAAACTCTATATTGTATCCCCTAAAGACAATAAATGTACCTCATTTTCACAAAAATCAATCCATCAATCACAATCAAGAGTAGAAGACAAGAGAATGGTGATTTTAACTCCTAGCATATTACAATAGAAGCATCAGGTGTGATGATGTAATTTGATAGCACCCTTACATCTTACATTTATAACGAAACAGACACACTCGACTCGACTGACAACAAAATGCCATCATTAATAACCAGCATTTGACCTGACCTATCAATCAATCATCTTGTGTGTCAAAAATTTCCCGCAGCAGCTTTTAACCAATTTTTAGGTCTTTTTAAAAACTATTCATTTACTTATACACTGCACAAATGAAGCATCTGTTGGGCCTATTCATTATTGATATAATTCATCCATTGTAAAATACAAACATCAAGTGCTCTTCAGCTCTTCAATCTGTGATTGACTTTGGTGTAGTGCAATATCAAGGAAACTTGGAATGGTGGGGGGGGAGAGTGATGGTAATGAGGTGGGAGCTTGATGATTAATTGACCAAATACACCACTGGTGCAGTGTGTCTATCAGTGCCCAGTGTCTGTAAAAAAACATGTACTGTACTTAGCAATTCCATGGTACACACACTCATTATTATCACTATTGAGAATCACTGTGTGATAGACATACCGTTGTTGCCAACTAAGCTACACTAAGTTATACATCAACAACAATAACAATAAAAGCAACAATAGTAATAATAATAATTATTAAAATTATAGCAATAAAAAATTATATAGACCCAATATAAATACTATAATAAGAAACATATTTAACTCTTTCATTTCAAGTAAGTAAAACAAAAACAAAAAACTATTTCTTCTTGAATAATAGAAATATTTTATATTTTGTACTTGAAGCATATACAATATGCTCAGTGTTGTTGGAATTCTCATCTTTAGGAGAATTTTTTAATAGCCAGCCAGCCAACAAGACAGATGGTTCATTCAACACATTGTTAAACACTTGTTGGCCGCATTAAATTTTGATGACATGAAATATTATATGGTCAATGCGGTTGATGCAATTTAATGATGATCGCATTACTACTGGTACATAATTGAAAAAAACAGATGTACCAAGATAAGATAACAAAACGTTCACAGAACAATGTTGTTGTTATTGAAAAATATAATAATTATTCTAGACATACATTCGATTGGAACCAGCAAAACTGATTTCTGCTTTATTCTAGCAAACTATTATACATAAAGGCTTTTATAATTATTAATGATACCATATTATTTATGTTGACATATTCACAATTTCATAAAGACAAAATAAGAATGAACACTACAAAAAAAAAAAAAAAAAAAAAAAAAAAAAAAAAAGTAAGGCTTGCACTATAACGAGCCTGTAGGCAGGATTTTAAAAGGGTTATATTTTTTCACAATTTAAGGGCACTTTCAGGCCTTACCTACCTCAGCTCTACAATGGCTGGGGTGAATTTTAAAGATATAACATCTCAGATGTCCGGAAATGGCAATAAAAATGCCAAATTTCAAATATTTTGAGTTAATTTCAACAACTCCATGTAAATGGTACTTTTTAATAATAATTTAATAGGGCACTTGGAAAAGTGAGGTTCTTTCGAGCCCCTTTGACTACAGGCTTGTGTAAGAACGTACAAAATCCACTATGAGTTCAAAGGCAAAAATTGCAGTATAATTTTTTTTTAATTTTACCAGTTTTACCAGGAAATTATCTAAATTAAAAACAAGAGCATCTTGCTAGGAGACTACTCCCCAACCATGGAAAGTAATTATATAGAATATGACAAAGCATTAATTCTGGCTTAGACATGCCAGCCTGGATTATAATAATAATCAAAAATTTAATAAATATTTCAGCAAATTTTCATTATCTGAATATATGGCACTGAACAAAAAAAGGTAGGATCAACAAAATTGTGAAAAAGTGTCTGGCTCTAATTTAGATATGAAATATTAATCCATCAAGAACATAAACAAAGAAGTAATCATTCAATGTTCTTTTAAACAAATTTATTTGTCTCCTAGTTGGCCTATTTCTTAGGTGTTTGGTCATTAATAAAAATAATGGGTTGCTATAACAACCTATTACATATCTAAGAATTCCTTTTCAAATTAAACAATAACAAAAAAAAAACTATATAAAAAACCCAAACCAAATATCCAAGAAAAGTAATGAACAGACTAGAGCAGAACCATTCACCTATTTGTTTTGATAAATGAAAATATTCAGTAACAGAAAATTTGAAATATATGCAAATTAAGGAATTGATTTATCTTCATAGGGTGTGATTGTTGACCAACGAATATCTATTTTGTTGGACATCTGCTTGTTTGCTCCTTGTATAATGATTCTGATGCTTCTAATACTATCTGTCAGTTTTCTCTAATCTACACCTGATCTACCAGTATTCTTTATAGTGTATTAATATTCTTGTATCTTAAATACATCTAGGAATCTTTTATTCAATTCAATTTCTTACATGATGCAGTAATACTGAATATTTCATATTCCCTTTAGTAGACTTAACGTGCTTAAAAATGCTTTTATTAGTAGATTAAGCTTAGCTTATAATTCTCTTGTTTTAAGGAATCCTGATATTGATATTTTTAGTGATAATTTCCTATGTTCCGTAACAGTGTTAAAAATATTTTACATATTAAGCCCACTTAATCTGATATTATTATCACATTGTTATTATTATTATTATTATTACTTTTTGTATTTATTTTTGTATTCTTCACGTTTAATATATTTATGTATCCGTTTGATGTTTGTGTTCCCTCCTGTAAGTGGCAAATTTTATGTTTGTTGTTGGCTGGGATAATAAATAAATAAATAAAAATAAAATAAAGAACTAAATCTGAATTACAAAACTGAGTTCTCAATATTTCAAATGCTTACTTTTTACATTTATGTTATTAGTTCTCTCAGAAGATGACAAAAATATAATTAATAACGTCCGTATAAAACTTTACATAGACTTACATCATCTGGTAATTAATTTAATTATTTCTGATAAATATAAATAAATCTCGAAATCGCTCATACAATTCAATTTTTTACATAAAACAACTTACTCATAAATGGACTTGCTGCAATAAACAGAATACTAATGATGGTATAAAACAATAATATTGCAAAACTAAATCTGAATAAAGTCAGACACTTACTACGGGCGACGGTAGTTGGCCGACACGATTCTATGAAGAACGTAACGCGACGACATGCGCGCTACAGATCATCTTTAATGGCAATCCGTTCAGACAATCACCAACATTTAGCAGATGGCGTCGCAGCATCGCGTCGTCTAGCGCTAACAGAGAGGGTGTTGGATTTGTCATGTGATGGTCGTACTATCGTCATAGGACACAGTGGGTGCCTTGTTTTATAAAACTTGTCAATATATCTAGTGCTCACATTTTACATTTACGTTATTAGTTCTCTCACAAGATAAATTTTCTCAGAAAATGACAGACATATACGTAACAACGTTCCTACTATAAATTTTGCATGTTTTTACATGTTTCCTGTTCATAAATTATACAATTCTACAGCTATCATAATGATACTGGTAATTACAAGATATTCAGTTACGAGGTCACTGCGCGGCTAATTAGCCAATCATAAGAGCATTAGCAAAGGATTCATAGAACTATCACATAAAAAAAACAAAAATAAAATGACAGCATTAGAGGGTTAATGAACTAGAAAGGAAAAAAAACAGAATGATTTTAGAGATAATAAAGAACAAACTGTATCAGGTAGTAAACAAACTGAGGAGGGCACTATCTCTGTTGGTAATTTATACACATTTTATATATTTATTTAGTTAAAAAGAATATAATAAACGTCGCATGGATGGCACGGTCGGTTAAGGATGTATGGGTACAGCTCTAATTGGTACCTTTTATGAATGTTCTTGGTGACAAAGTGAGGGACATAATATCTCACTCACTACAGCTACCACTCAACTGCTGCATCTACTACCATAAAAAATATTACACTGAAACATAGTACATTAGACAGAATATCAGGGATAATTAAACTTAATTTCATCCATTACTGTTGTAACGGCATGATTAATGTAAGCCTTTAAAAGAAGTATGGAAGTGAAGTTGATAATTGAAAATTAGTCCATGCAACTCATTCACATTTATGCCTGCAATTTACTGTCCATAATTTTCACATAATTGATATAAGCCAGTTAAACTTCTGCCTTGTCATGTACTATGTTTCTATTGTGAGACAAAGGTTCATTATTCTGGGTTACTTAGAATTAATTACTTTTGTCCTCTTACAACTTTCTACTGAAACGTGATCATATGACAAACTTTATTGCAATTTTCAACGGAATCAATAAAAATGTGATGCAACTGGGAATTTTTCGTTGAAAATTTAAAAAATTAAATTTGTGATTTCAATTACAAATCAAAAAGCTTCAGAAGAGATCGCCATTTGCACAGATGTGTATGAAGGTTTAGTCAAACAATCCAGTCATATACATTAGGAGGGAAGTTATTGGAAAAAACAAGTTAAAATATATTTTTGAATGCTGAACTCTGGCAGCAGTGGGAAATGGCTGTATGCCAATAACCCCTAGATGTACATTCCCATTTGATGGGTTTTGGCCAAATGTCACATGACCATTTTACCCCCTAACTGTACATTATCATAGTTTATGCTACATAAACATCTGCTACTGCCCAGACATACTTGCAAAAATGGTGTGTTCCAACTTCTTTCATGCATGACAAAATTGTTGCATCCTTTTTTAAAGGATTAAAAGCAAAGAAATTAATATTAAAGCAATTACCTCATCATTGAGAAGATATTTATGATAGCGATTTTGAAAAAAATCTCTGATGGGTATGTACACCTAATGCAGCTCAATTAATCAAAGTTGTAAGGACTACGTACATAAATTGATGGGCTAAAGCCGTCCAATGAACTATAAAAGCATTATCTATTTATTGAGACAGTATATATATTCTTATTTATCGATATACTAATCATGTATAAATAAATTATTAATTGATAAATTATCCATTAGTTTTTGATGAATTTTCCATCATTTACTGAAAATATTCATTACTTAAAATACTAATGAATTACAACTTATTCTAAAGATGCATTATTTATATAAGGAAGGTGAAAAGTTTAATGACAGCATACCTGATCTTGTTTTTGTGTTCTCTCCTTAGGGATCTCAATTGAGAACCCCTTTCGGGATTCCATGCGAGTCAAATCAGCCAACAC